CACTGACTGGACAGCTGGGGGAGCAGACGTGGCATGGATTTATTCAACCATTTTTAATGACTGAAACGTTAGTGACACAGCATCACCCTGCCATTATTATTCTTACGGATGGTGTGTCAATGAGTCTGTAATCAGCAAACAAAACAACAACCAAAAAAATTATAATAAATTGATTTAAAGGTTTTATTTATGTGGAAGACATCAAATGGACAAATCTAAAATCCCTGTGAATATAGCAGATGTCAGTTGAAAGGAAACATGAGTACCTTCAAACTAAATTAATCGTTTGTCCCTTTCTTATCTAAAAAAGAGCCTAATACATATTAGGCACAGAAACATCAAACATGAGGAGTGTGAAAAGAAAAAAACTATATATAATAACTGGAGACACAAATGAACAGGTTGTAACTGTATTTCCGTTCTGATAGACAAGCAAGAGTCACAACAGATCAATTCATGTCAAACTCTAATTAAATTGAAACTATATATATTTCAGGATGTACAATATTTGACCTTTTTATTTGCACCAGATTTGCTTTGTTTGTGGAAATCTTTTATTAATTACACTACCTGTCTTTTTTCATGTTTTTGAAAGAAGTCTCTTATGCTCACCGAGCCTGTATTTATTTAATCAAAATGCAGTAAAAACAGTAATATAGTGAAATATTATTAAAGGGCTGTTTTATGTTAGAATATATTTTAGAATGTAGATGTAATGAAACTGCGATACACTTAAATGTTTGGGGTAAGTTAAGGTACCTTTTTTTCCTAAAACGGTAAAAGTGACAGTAAAGACATTTATTTATTCTTTTAATGTTGCAAAATATTTCTATTTCAAATAAATGCTATTCTTTTGAATTTTCTATTCATAAAAAAAAAATTTAAATCATGAAAAAACTGTATTCTACACAAAGGTTTTCACAAAAATATTATGTAGCACAACTTAAACATGGATAATAATAAATGTTTCTTAAGCAGCAAATCAGCGTATTAGAATGATGTTTAAAGGATCATGTGACACTGAACACTGTGACTGGAGTAATGCCTGAATGCTGAAAATTCAGCTTTGCCATCACAGGAATGAATTACAGTTTTTAAATTTTCAAATAGAAAACAGTTATATTAAACTACTAATATTCTTTTGCAATATTATGATTTTTACTGTATTTTTGATCAAATATGTGCTTCTTTCAAAATACGACAAAATGTTACTGACCCCAAACTTTTGAATGGTAGTGTATGTGGTGGTTGGTTAACATTATGTTAACTATGTGAAAACTATGACTATGTGAAAGAGCAAATTATTGATTAAAGAGTATAAAGACAAACATGAAAACATTTGCAATGAGGTTCAGTAAGTTAAAAATTATGCAATTGAATATGAACTAACAATCTGAATACTTCTACAGCATTTATTAATCTAGGCTAATGTAAATTTCTACATATACTGATGTATCTTTAACGTATACAAACATTAATAACAATAAACAATAATATTTTCACGAATCGACATTAAACTAGATTACTAAGTGCTGTAAAATTGTTGTAGTTCATTACCAAATGCATTAAATAATGTTGACAAACTGAACCTTATAGTAAATTCTAAAAATATTTTCTATGAAATAGCATGCACTGATAATTTAAGACCAGGAATGTGAATTAAGCAAATGGGGTTAATTCTGATTTCAGGATGACTTTAAAATAAATAATATGTGAAATATATCCAGCACAATTCGAACACTATTCAAATTTGGGCATTTGTACAATCCGAACAACTCGGGTTGACCTCAGCAAGAAGTTTGTAGGACCATCAGCCCCCACTGATGAGAGAGAGGAGGGGTGGGCTGTTCGTCACTGACACCTGGTGCTCCAGATGACAGCCCTGCGGCCAGATAGATTACGTCGTACATAAAAACACAAAAACACATTCACATATACGTTCACATCCTTAAACATACCACCTCGATACAATTCTTGGTCTTAACAAAAGCAGCATCTCTCAAACCACCATTCCATCTCAAAACTGAACTAATGAATGCAGGGACCTATAAAAGCGGCCATACCGGAGGGCGTTATGTCTCTGAGGAGTGTCCTAGTAGTGTCAGGGAGGCAGGATGTGGGAAGAGTGACGTGATGCCGCAGTGGGGGGCAGATTAGAACAAACCCCATGGTGCATGTCTGGCCGTATCTCCCTCCCCCGCTACTGTCAGTGCCACCTGTCACCCCAAAGCCTCATCTCCCAGCCTAACCCTCAGCAGACACCGCCACCATGTACAAAGTTCACCCAAATTAGAAGCAAGGAAGGTTATTACGCTTTCTGGCCACAAAACATTCTCTTTGTAACATTAGCGAACAAATGCAACTAAGTAAGTTCACAGAGTCTCAGTATCGTTTACCTCCAGTGCAGCAGACGGTTTCTTCTTGAGCTCCTCGCACTTGCGGAACTTGCAGATCTGGTGGCCCGTCTTCCGGTTCCGGCAACTGCTGCACTGCTCGCAGTTAATCCTGCGCCGGCAAGGTGGGCACATCCCACAGCGTTTCCTTTTCTTCTTCCCAGAGCTAATGGCAGAGGCCAGCTCACTTTGCACTGGGTACTCCGTCAAGCCGGCCATGTGCAGTGCGCTGTCGGCGAGGAAGACTCCGGCAGGTGTCATGATGAACAGCCCCGGGTTGAAGGGGAAGCCGCCGCCGCCCACACCGTACGGGAAGTCTGTGTGACCCCCCACCGTGTCGGCCACCGATGCCCCTTCCAGGTCGACCGTCCCCACCTCGCCCCCGCCCACACCCACTCCCATTCCCCCCGGCAGCAGCATGTGCTCCATGCCCGCCCGCTTGAGCAGCGCAGCTGCCTGGGCAAAGTGCAACAGGCCGTTCTGTCCCTCCAGCACCTGCTCCAAGGTTCGGTCCAGCTTGCTCGGCACCAAGGCCGAGGCGGAAGGCTGCTGCGGCTGCTGCTGGGTGGGCTGGTGCTTGGCCGCGTGGCTCTTGGCCTGGCCGTTGTGTTTCAGTCCGTTGGCGGTCTGGGGGCATGCAGTGGTGTACTGCGAGAGGGTGCGAGACCTCTTCAGGCTCTTGCTGAGGGGCTCACTGATGATGCCGCTCCGGTTGCGGCGTTCGATAACGGGGCTGTCCTCCCCACAACTGCGCTTGTCCTGGTCCTGGTCCGTGTCCTGGTCCTGGGCCTTGGGTGTCCGGCTGCCCTCCGGCTGTCTGCCAGACATGGTCCAGCCCCGGGGTGTGAGCGTGGGAGGGGGGGCGGGGTTGGGGAGGGGACGGGGGCTGGCGAGGGAGGAGCCAGGCAGCACTCGCAATCCGCTCAGTGCCCAGGTGAGGGTGGAGCCTCCCCTTAACGGGCAAAACGGCCGGCCAGTGGCAGGCAGACCCCGATGCCCTTGACTCTAGACTTCAGCCCTCATCCACATCTTTCCGCCGGCAACCTGTAAACTAAGGCACAAAGACAGAAAGAGAGAGAGAGAATGAAATATGTTGAAAGCATTCTGATTCTTAAAAGAGCCCTTGACAACAAAAAAACTGAGAACAGTGAGCGGCGATTTGGGCCTTTCTTTCGCATGGCTCCAACATTTTATTGAGTGCTGTACGATGCCCCTACTGTGCCTGGGAAATCAATATGTACATTTATCTTCAAACACTATGTAGACAGAGTAAAGCAAAAATGAGATGGGCATGAAGAGTAGCACAGCCAGATGCTGTGACAAAAAGCACCTCGAATAATAAAAAAATGGCAAAAAATGTAAACCATGAAAACATTATTTCAAAATTATTAATTTTCCACAGCAAATTGGTTTACTTTTCAGAAAAGCATGACTTATTGTTTCTGTAAAAGATGAGACAGAGTTGCTTCACTCAAGGTAAAGTAGACAGTACAACATACTGTACAGTAAGCTTGACTGAAGGAAACAATTAACTTCTCTTTATCAAGATAGCATGTGTATCATAGAGAATTAATAAAATCAATTTTAGTGTGAATAAATCAAAGTCTCAGGCAACTTCAGTCAACTTCTCAATGACGTCAATCCCTCTTAAAAGTGTGATGTCACCTGTGCAAGCATAAACCCAATCATCTGTCTGTTATTTCATTCATTTATTCACTGCAGTAACAGTGAGAGTACAGAAAGAATTCTCTTTGAAACAATGTACTACTCACTTTGAAGGGCAGAGCACATAAAGTAAGTACTCTGAAGGGTGCAGAGCATTACTCTCCCATATGTATACTTTTGCTACATATTTCACTGCCACTTTATTTTGAATCTGAATGTTATGATACCCTTGATAATCTATAATAACATATAGCTGCTGTGCTTGTTATAAAGATGTAAAGAGGTCATTCTACAAAACAGGTGTGATTTGTCTAAATGATGCATCAGCTATCTATTGTTGAATGACTTCAACAATGAACAGGGTATGCCATCTTTTACTATGTGCTAATATAGATATGTCTCTAAACATTTCTTTCCACTTCTTGTTGTTTTAGCAAATATCCACATTTTGATAAAACAAAATAGATGGAAAAGCTATTTTGTTTTAATTTGCTCTGTGTATACAGTATTTAGATTTTAGTTTTAGAACCCACGTTATATGTCAACCCTGTTACCATCATGTTTTGTGGTTTTAAATATTGATAATAACAAGAAATGTTTCTTGAGCAGCAAATCAGCATATTAGAATGATTTCTGAAGGACACTAAAGACTGGAGCAATGATGCTGAAAATTCAGCTTTGCCAATACAGAAACAAATTACATTTTAAAATATAATAAATTAGAAACAAATATTACTGGTTTTAATGCATTTTGTTATTAAATATATGCAGCCTTGGTGAGCATATGATATTTTTTCCAAAGCCCTGAAACATCCTACCAACCCCAAACTTTTTTGTAATGTTTAGTTAAAGTCAAAACACAAAATGTGTACGAAAGAGGCAGAGCGACCAGTCAGACGGGGTAAGAAAAAAGCAAGGGACAGGTGGCTCAATGTTAGCACTACTTGCTTAATTACTGTTCCCAAAGTAACCATTAGGGTGATGGAAATGGGCCCACAAAATGACTTAGCAAATAAGCCCACTGGACATAAATGAATCGATTTGCTTCCTCCTGTTTTGAGAAGTTTTTTTCCGTTAGGAGTAAATTCAGTCACACAGCTTCCCAGTGAACCGGATGCTATCTACGGTAAAACGCTACCATTGATCTCAAAGCAAATAAAATGCAAACACAGTGTGTGATGGTTACTAAGCATTGTCCGTTCTCTGTAGTTTGTTGTCTCCATCTGTTCCTGTAACATATGACCTGTGTTTGCAGAGGTCTCGTAAAAGCTGAAATAAGTGAATTTGTCTGTCGCTGCCTCCACATCGGTTCCTGTCAATCATAGTAACCTCTTCAACATCAGGTCCACCTTTAAGTTAAACTATCTTCCAGCTTCTCTACACCTGTGTCACAGACTCCACTGAGGACTCAAGTCAAATGATGTTTCCTCTGACCCTCGGATTTGATCAACCTCTCCATCTACAAATGTGTGACTCCAACATTCTGTCAACCACGCGCACTTCATGCTCTTCCAACATTTTTGTCTAATTAAGTGACAAATTTTTCGAATTAAGTCAAATTATTGTTATTGCAACACTCTCATTTCTTTCATTCCTCATTGACAGTATTTTATTTCCACCACATATAATTGCCATGCATTTTGCATGTGTATAAATCCATCAAAATTTACTAGCTATGCTATTACAATGACCGGTACCAGCAATTTGTCTGTCCACACTGAACTCCAAATGGCTGCATGATGTGACACAATCTCAGAACATAATTCATGTTTAATGTACAGTTATGAAGATATGTTTTTGGAACAACAAATGACATTTCAAAGCAGTACAAGGCCACAGAAATAGAAATAGGGATGCACAAAATGGAAATTTAAGGTGATTTTGGTAATATTTATATTTTCAAAGCCAATAAGAAATACATTGGAAAGATACGACCTCAAGATCAATCTACCAATTGTAAGACTGAATGCTCACCTTAAAAGTCCAGATTCAAACTTCACATTGAAAACTGCTTTAAATGTTAAAAATTGTGCAAGAAAGAAAATTACATACAGTAATTGAACAGTAAGATTTTTAATGGTTTTTTTTTAAGAATTCTCTTCTGCTCACCAAGCCTGCATTTATTTGATCCACAATACAGAAAAAGCAGTAATATTGTGAAATATTTTTACTATTTAAAATAACTGCCTTCTATTTGAATATATATAAAAAATTTAATTTATTCCTGTGATCAAGGCTAAATTTTCAGCATCATTACTCCAGTCTTCAGTGTCACATGATCCTTCAGAGATTTCTTCTGTTCAAGAAACATTTTATTATTATTATTATTATTATTATTATTATCATCATCATCATCATAATCATCAATATTTAAAACAGTTATTAACAGTACATTTTTTTCAGGATTTTTGATGAATAGAAAGATCCAAAGATCAGCATTTATCTGAAATAATAAGCTTTTGTAACATTGTACACTATACCATTTAAAAGCCTGGAGTCAATATTTTTTTGGGGGGGGGGGGGGTTCCCTTAGCAAGGATGTTTTAAATGGATCAAAAGTGAGGATAAAGACATTTGTAACGTAACAAAAGATTTCTATTTCAGATAAATACTGTTCTTCTGAACTTTCTTTTTTCACAAAGAAAACTGAAACTCTCAGCTGTTTTCAACATAATAATAATAATAATAATAAATGTTTTTTGAGTAGCAAATCAGAATATTAGAATGATTTCTGAAGGATCATGTGACACTGAAGACTGGAGTAATGATGCTAACAATTCAGCTTTGAAATCACAGGAATAAATTACATTTTAAAATATATTCAAATAGAAAGCAGTCATTTTAAATAGTAAAAACATTTTACAATATTACTGCTTTTGATGTATTTTGGATCAAATAAATGCAGTCTTGGTGAGCAGAAGAGAATTCTTTAAAAAACATTTTTTTTAAATCTTACTGATAAAAACTTATCAGCTTAGATATATCAACTTTTTAAATATTAAGACAGATAATGATAACAAAAAAAAGTATTTATTAGCTAAAACAGACTGACCGCTAATATACTGTGCATCTCTAATTGGAAGTGATCAACAAAATGCCCTGTCAAACTTCTCTGGTTAGGCAGAATACGAATGGATTTACACGGAAGAGATCATTTTTTTCGATTGTCCCTCTATAGCATTGCGTCATTTATGTGTCGTTATTGGAAAAACCCATATTGATTGACCACTCTTCTGAGTATTGGGTGGCATATGTTTGTCTTATTGTTTGTGGTCCTAAATGGAAGCCAATTAAATTTCAAAATATTCAAGATAGTTCTATTGAGTGTCTAATGTGGTTGATGAAGTCATGGAAATATTGGTCCTTTCCTGGGGTTTGACTTTCATGTTAAAAATGACTTAACAAATGGGGTAGATGACTCAGGGTACAGCAATAGCTGACGCAGATGTAGTGAGGTTCAGGCTCAGCTGAGGGGTTGAAAACTTTTAATGCACCTGATTGTGTGCCGCGTTTTAAGAGGTGTATGCCGTACCTCAGGCCACACACTGCATTCTCTCCTTTGCAGCAGCACAATGCCTCACTCACAGCTGTAAAGATGGCAAGCCAGACCCCAACGCAGTCCCATTCAAAAGCATGGTTATGAATGATTGTAATGCTTTGTATTCATTCAAATAGAGCTTGTGTAATCAGACCCTTAACCGTGTAATCAGCATCTCAGTAGAGGAAACATAATGACCCATTTATAGCTAATGTGGAATGTCAAAGCTGCGAAATATTAGAGAAAAAGGCATGAAGTCAGATGAGTCAATAAATAAAGCAACTGAAAGAATAATCAGACTGAGAACAAACTGTCTTAGGCAAGACCATCATTCACAGATAAATTCATCCCGATCTCATCTGTCATATGGTCAGAATCAGTTCAGCTGATTAATCATTCATTGGTTGCGTCTGTCAATCGCTTCACACGAAATTCAGATATAAATGTAAGAAATGCTTTTTTGTTCCATCCTTAAAGTGAAAGTAATATAATAAATTGGTGTCAGAGATTGCCAAAACACATCAGTCTGATTAATGCAGCTCTCTAGTGTGTTAGCATGCCTCTTTACTCTTCATAATCAATAATGTTTGACTGCTTAAGGGTGACAAGAACGGGGCTGTACTGTAACGGCAATCTGCAACATTACCTCATATGATCTAAAAACAGAAATGAAACCATTAAAAGTGAGGATGGAATATAAATAGCTCTTTCCTAAAGCATTAGGTTACATAAACTACAATATCCTATTTTGTTGATATTAGCCTTTGAGGATATTATTCTTTGATCAAATGGAATATGGATATGATCAATTACTGCAGATGCTAATACTTTCGGAGCTCATACTGTTAACGTTTGACTGACTGAAGCTGTGCTAATGTTCTGATCAATCTGAGCCAATCTGGCGCACAGTAATGACATGATGGCACAGAGTAACAATTTGGGGTTTCATCTCTTCCTCTCTCACTGTCTTTGCAGTAAATGATAGAAAGTATTTCTAAACTATTAAGATGCCAAAAGCAAAATGTGCCCAAATGTGTCAAATAAATCTGATAATGTTGATTTGGTCAGCATTTATTAATTGGATAACTGCAATACCCTGGGTGTCAAAAAGTATAAGAGATAAAAGTAGTGTGGCTGTGATAGCCGCTACACTCATATTCAGCAGAATTATTAATGTACTAAAGTACAAGATAATAGCTACATAAAGATGTGTCTGGAGAGTTTTATGACGGATATCGCTACATTAAAAGGAAGGAAGTCCAGTAATGGCTAATTACACCCAAACAGCAATTTGAGAGGATGGTTTTGGAAATATTAAACTTTGCTTCCTGTAAATCCTTAAAATCTTTAAATGATAGGCATAGATTCTCCTCTAATTTCCATCTGCCATATTCAGCAATTATTTTTCATATGTGACAGTTACAGTGTATCTGTACACACATGTTGTTTTATGTTGGCACTGGTACAAGTTATGAAAATGATATCTCGGCTGATTAACTGGAAGAAACATTCAGTATGTCTCTGCAGCAGGCTATTTAAACATTTATGTTAACTGACAACATGTATTAATTTATGCATATTTAGGTTTGCAAGGTCTCTAATGGTAATATGTCATGGGAAGCTGTTTGCAAAGACTTTTGCTTATGTCTCCTCCCTAGGGACAAACACAGGACTAATTGGTCCTCCTCCCCCTATTGAATAACAACTCTAAAACGGACAATTCTGCAGTGAACAAGAGTTTTACATTTTTAAAGTATCAGCTATGTAAAGTATCATTTTGTCATTCTGTGTCCTGTAGTTTTTCTGAGGACAAAATAATGACTATCATACATTTTTACTATGATTTACAGAAGAAAAAAAATGCAATTCAGTGTAACAACCAAAAAATCGTGTCAGGCATATTTAGAACAAGAATAATTACATTTACATTTAGTCATTTAGCAGACGCTTTTATCCAAAGCGACTTACATTAAAAGACTGTTTAAGGATCACAGTCCAGCCCCAAAACAGTAGCTAACTGTCATTTTAAATCTTTACCAAGCTTTGCCAATATCCTTCAAACCACTAGGTTTTACCCATTTAGCAGCAAGACGTTTTAAAAAATATATAATCAAATTTAGTATAGTATTTATATTTATATATATATATATATATATATTTAATAAGTACTGATCAGAATAAGTATATATATATATATATATATATATACTTTTTTCTTTTTCTTTTTCGATTAATTATACATTTATATTGTACAGCAGTTTTGGACCTACATGTTTTCTCTTATTTAGGTTTGCTTGGAGCAGGGTTTCTCTCACCCCAGTGGAAAATGGAAAACTTGGGGTGGAACTCAAACCTGGAGTTCGTTTGGAACTATTTTCACTAATGCAGTTTATTTAGTAAAAATCAGCATCTATCTATCTATCTATCTATCTATCTATCTATCTATCTATCTATCTATCTATATGCTTACAGTCATTATATAGCCTATAAAATACAGTAAACATATAATATAGCCTATGTTTGTTATCCATTTTTTTATATATATAATTTGAGTCAATCAGTCAAAAACACTAAACTTCTAATATTTGACATTTAAGTAATGGATAAACCATTGCCATTGAACAGCTGCAGCCCCAAAGAGGAGGAAAAAATCACTGTGAGGTTACTTCGCAACGTCACGCAGGCAGATATCGAGTAATTCAGGTAATGCGGAGTCCAACGTAACATCTCCCTCAAGACACGCACACACCTATCTATCTCCCCCTGCCGCTGTCTTTCTTCCTCACACCGCTTCACACACACACACACTCACGCATGCATGCTCTCACACGCAAGCACTACACACGCACACACACATTCACGCTCTCACACGCAAGCACTACACACGCGCACACACATTCACGCATGCATGCCCTCACACGCAAGCACTACACACGCACACACACACTCACGCATGCATGCTCTCACACGCAAGCACTGCACACGCACACACACACTCACGCATGCATGCTCTCACGCGCAAGCACTACACACGCACACACACACTCACGCATGCATGCTCTCACACGCAAGCACTACACACGCACACACACACTCACGCATGCATGCTCTCACACGCAAGCACTACACACGCACACACTTGCGCACAAGGTCCAGCGGACGTTGACAATAATTCATGTTTTCCGAGCTCGCTCCGCCAGATGTGGACTTTGCCGAGCGGCGTCCCGAGCATTTGCATAGCTCAAAGTTAAATGCGCTTGAAAACTTCTCCAACTCTTTGCGTCATGGCGAAAGTTAATGACTGGCAATCACACAAACAGTGCGTGCATGAGCGCCGCGCGCTGTCGGCCGCTGACTGCAGCAGTAAATCCCCGCGCGCTCTCCGCGGCGACATCAGCCTGATAATATCCTCTCGGCAAACAATGAAGCGCACATTTTTGGCTAATCCCTCCGCGATGAGTTCAACAAATCACCATAAATCACGAGCGACTAAACAGCGAATTTGAAATACAGTGAAAAAAAAAACCTTTAGTATTTTACAATATACCGTTATATTAACGACCACCGCGTTTTAGTAACGCACAGGTGTGCTGCTGCTGTTGACCAAAAGTTCCGCGTCTATAACATAACGCATCGTCAACTACAATACCACCTGTCGTTACATGCTGGAGCAACTATCATAAACGTCATCGGCATCATAATTTTACTAGCAAATTATCCACGAGAGTGTTAAGTTTGTACAGCCCACCGCAGCATTGAAATACGATTAGAATGTGTGTATTCTGTCAATTGTTTAAATGTGATACTTGCGTTCTGAAGAAGCAAAGCAATATTACTTCCTGGGAAGCGTAACCGCGTTTCCATAAGGACAATACAGCACAAATCTGCGGGAACGGGTCAACATCGTCCAGTCGCTAAAAATATGTGTCGGATCTTAATTTAATTTGGCATTAAAGCGGCACAAAAATACCTTTTGTCTAGACTCAATTATCTGAAACCTGGGTCTCTGCGGTGCCAGTGTACGGTCTGCAGCAGCACGACTGACAATGTACGGCACAATCATTCCCCCGTTCTCCCAGCCAACAAGATCGTTAGGAAGATGACATCCCAACTTTGAGCAGACTTCAACAAAGTATGATTCCCCCCCTTTCGATGTATCTGCATATTTGCAAACACTGGCCCCTTTTTTATTCGCACCTACCAAGGCAGATCCGAGCAGAGGGGAGGGCTTCCACTGTCCGAGCGCCCCTTCTCCAAGCCTGTCGTAGAGATTGATGGCAAAAAGAAGGGAGAAAAAGCTTATTCTCCACTTCCAGAAATCATGTAGCCTTCGACCGAGCCGAGCGCGTGAGGAAGAGAATAGTGAATTATTGCTAAACGTACTTTCTGGGAAGCTGAGCGTGTGGGCTCACCAACCTTTCGATTCTCGCAATCCCACCTCTACATCCAGAAGAACATGCAAACACATTTCATAGATTTTTGGAGCTTCACGTAAAAACCGAACTGGACTTTCGGCGACGCTGAGACGGAGAAAACGCACAGATTAACAAAGACATTTCGCGTCACGCAGCGCTTCTTTTTGGCGACGTTTTAAATGTCGAAGCGGAACGCGTATAGGGTGTTTATCGATGCGCACGAACATTGTGAAAGATTTGAGGGTTAATGTTACGGACGGAGATTTGTGGCGTCTCGGTCCCCCTTTGCACTGTGCAGCCTATGATTTTTTTTCTCTGGGAGCAAAAGTTGATATGTCGTCATACCGCTTTAAGACTGAACTTCCCTTCAACACATTCATATTTACCATCAAACAATGTCAGAAGGATGCACGTGGTGACTGCATGACTTTGTAATCCTACTGTTTGGTTTCATTTCGAGATCGCTTTCTGGAATATATTATTATGGAAAAATAAAGTATGAAAGTTCCAAACATGTCTGCGCTTTTTGAAACTTTGGTATGTAAATTATATATATATAATATATATATATATATATATATATATTGTATTCATTAATATTTAGTATCAGTGGAGCTCCAAGCAAATTCCACATAGATAGGCTACTATAGCAACATCTTATGGGCTGTCATTTTATTTTAATGCGTGATCCTAATTTTTGGCCCAGTTCTGAGGTTATTGAAAAACCCATTAAAGAGTGTGTGCGCTTTTTGAAACTTTGGTATGTAAATTATATATATATAATATATATATATATATATATATATATTGTATTCATTAATATTTAGTATCAGTGGAGCTCCAAGCAAATTCCACATAGATAGGCTACTATAGCAACATCTTATGGGCTGTCATTTTATTTTAATGCGTGATCCTAATTTTTGGCCCAGTTCTGAGGTTATTGAAAAACCCATTAAAGATGCCTTTCATTGTTTTTCCCCCAATAAATAAACACTTTAATCTTCTACAATCGTCGTGTTTTTAATTTGTCAATTAAAATGATTTTTTTCTGATTTTAATTGTTGAGCTTAAAGTAAAAAAACAACTAAATGTCCTTTGTGTAGCCAACTGATTGTAAATAAGAGAAACACTTTCAAGAAAAGGCTGTATTTTCATGGGGAGAAAAACTATTTTTGCCATAAGTATAGTATGACACAATCTTTGCAAATTATTTATTTTTCTAAATTTAGCATTGTTGCAATTTTGTTTGAAAATATTGTTAATTTTTTCAAAACGTGATATCAAAGTCAGTGTGACATAACCAACATGCAAGTAGCCATTTTGCTGTCATGTGACAAGAAAAATATATAAAACAGGGAGGACCCCTTTAGAGCCCTCATAACTGTCAAGGTCATTCAGTGTTTAAACATATTACTTATTTAGACGATTTATAAAAGGCATGTTTAGTCCAGATAATATGAAGCATCTTAAGAAAGCCCCTGACATTTAATCTAACATTTTAGATATTTTAAGTAAACTTTTTATTAATGTTTAAGTTATAGGCTACATTATAAGTTGTTAAAGGTGTACACACAAGTGTATTTAATGTGCAAGTAAATTATTTACTTTTTACTTGATAGTTACACCACTGGATATTTAATAATATATTTTATTAGGTATTATTATTAGTAGTAGCAGTAGTGAGTTATTAGAATTTTTAAATAAATAATAAATACATTTGTAGAAAGTGGTAGCCTAACCTTTTTTAAGTATGAAACCAACATGTAGGCTATACAAAAATTACATTTCTAAGAAACTAGATTTTAAATCAATGTATTTTCTCGTTTTTAGAAACTCGGACATGTTATTGACCCATTAATGTGTGAAATGCAAACATATTAATAACTTTTTTTAAATAAAGCACGTCTTTTTAAACGTCCGTGCACGTATGTAACGCAGAATAAATATTATACCGCCATGAATAGCGTGGTCTGCTTTGGCAAACAGGGGTCAGCTGTGGTCGTTCAGCTCCTGGTTTCTCTCAGTCCACTCCGCTTCTTTTGAATGTCCTGTCTGCTGGCAGGCGGCCAACCGAAGTGTGTGGAAATGACACCGCCAGGGCGGCAGAGATTTTCCTTCATTTCTCTCCTTCCCGATAGCAGACGGGCTGACATTGGCTAGAAAGTGGAGCAGCTCGTCAGGGACAATCAATGCGAATCGATCGAGCCGCGCGGGTTTGAGGCTCCGAGCTGGAAAATAACGCGCGTGCGAGCGAGCGAGAGAGGGAGAGAGACAGAGAGCGAGAGAGAGAGAGAGAGAGAGAGAGAGAGAGGACAGGGAGGGGATGTGCTACCAATCGCCTCTCTCACACACAAATATCGCCTTTACTAAGCCCTCATTTCATGGAAGGCGCATCAAAGACAGTTTATTCCTGACGCAAGGATATTTTATCATATTCATCAACATTAAAAGGATATTGTTTTTTCCCAGCTGTCAAAGTTAGCCAAACGAAATACCACTATGTGCTTTGGCTGCAGCTATAGGTTTATATTAGCAAGTGTGCTAATACTTCAATATAAATACAGTGGGGTCCAAAAGTCTGAGACCGCTACTGAAAATGTTTCCATTTTGGCATCTTTCTAAATTAATGTTTTTTTGTTTGTTTGTTTTTTTGTTATAAATGATTATATTATCATATAATTTGAGAGAAAAGTTCAATTGAAAAATTTATATTTCAGAATTTCTTAATATTTGGTACTCAAGGTGCATTCAATTTTGTGTAAAACCTGATGATTGTGTTCCCCAGCATGATTTGAGATGTTCCAAAGAGTGGAAGAACAACATCTAACTGTATATCAGACAGACATTTGCTTATTTGTTTTAACGTTTTCAGAATACTCAAATTTGGTTTATATTTGATTTTGGATCCCATTTTCAATGTTGCTGCCGACTTTTAGACATTGCTGCATTTGCAACATCCAATGGCATTCATAGATCTGGGCATTACATTATGAGGTTCTCATGGTGATTAATATAGACTTTCATATATATATATATAGGCCTCTCTCTTTCTCTCTCTCTCTCTCTCTCTCTCTCTCTCTCTATACACACACCGAGACACAATATAACTGTCAGACCTACACAGCAATAGCTCTGTGATATGCCAAAATGTCATTAACCAAATTATTAATGTTAAATATCTCATTTAGCCTATTAAATAACCTGTTGCTAAATAATAAGTTGTGGCGTATGAATCTGTTCTCATTATTAGCTGTCAAAAATATAGAACATCAACAATATAGATTCTTCTCAGTTGAGAAAAAATATATATCTAGCATGTACAGAGGCCACTGTTTTCTAATCCAGGTTTGTGCTGCGTTACACGGGTTGTCTAAGTTTGACAATTAGCTTTTGTTTCACTGCTGACATATTTTCGTGGTCGTGGGCTGACACGCACGGGTTTCGTCAGAGAGATAAGCGCACAATGGACGCATCCAGTCCCTCACTGACGGGCTGGCGTGAATAAATTGGACACGCATTGCTTCGTAATCCCCTGAGTGTCTCTATGGCTCTGGCAAAGTGCCTGGCCTCACCGTATCTTACATTAAGCAGACGTCAGTCTGTTCGTCCTCCTTTCGCTTTTTAAAATCACTTCCATGTCCAAGTGCCTGACCGCTTTCTGTGCCTGGGCTCCGCCAACTCTCAAGTCCTCCAGAAACAGGTCCAAAAGAGGAGGAGGGGGGCAGAAAATATTATGCGACTGTCCGGCATTGGTGTCTGCACTGATGATTGGGACTGTTTGTGCTACCATAGAAGTGTGTAAACTACTGAATACAACGCTAGCGTGAGCAAATAACTTTTTATAGGAATTTGTGTTCCTCATGCAACTTAGGTGAGCAAAGCGAAAAGCTGTATCCAAATAAGTTTTAAACAAAACACTTATGTTTTGTGATATATTTGTGATATGTACATGTGTAAAAGCGTGAAAAATAATAACCTACTTGCGATGTTTTGACGGTGTACCATCCCGGTGTACCATAGGCTACATCAATATTTATTTATTCTTTAGTTTATACCGTCTCTTATCCTCACCAATTGTGCATTTATTTGATTTAAAAAATGGTAGTAAAATGGTAGTATTGTGAAATAGCATTACAATTTAAAATAACTTTTCTATTTGAATGTATTTTAAAATGTAAATTATTGCGAAGATGCACAGCTAAATTTTCAGCATCCATTACTCCAGTCTTGAGTGTCACATGATCCTTCTTCAGAAATCATTAATATGCTGATGCTCATGAAATATTTCTTATTTTTATCAATGTTAAAAACAACTGTAGAATATTTTTGTGGAAACCAATAATACCAATTTGTGGATACGCTGATGAATAGGAAGTTCAGAACAACAGTATTGAAATAAAACATTTTGTAACATTACAAATGTATTTATGGTCACTTTTGATCAATTCATCCTTGTTGAATAAAAGTATTGTTTTATTGAAAAAAAAAAAGATTTGAAGAATTATGTGTGTGTGTGTGTGTGTGTGTGTGTGTGTGTGTGTACCTGGTATTCCCTGTATGGGGACCAAATGTCCCCACAAGTATAATACCAGTCATTTTTGACCTTTTGGGGCCCCCATGAGGGATCAAGCTTATATACCACAGTGTGTGTGTGTGTGTGTGAGAGAGAGAG